ATATAATAATTAATTTTAAAACATTAATAAAAAAAAAGTTCTGTATTAAATTCTGTATTAAGTAATACAGAATTCATGACAAATTCTATATTATTGAATACAGAATTTAATATGGAAAAATTCTGTATAATTTCTAAATAAATTCTGTATACTTTTTTCTATAAGAATGAAGTTTCAGCTTAATTGGTTCTTTTTCTGAATTAAGAAAATCATATGTAATATAATTGTAAAATTCAAGTTTGTTATTTAGTAAAGTAGATCTAAATCCAAGATAATTTGTATATGCTTCAAATAGATCTTAAAAAAATGAATAATTTTCATTTAGCTTATTTGATAAACTCATGCATTTTAATTTTTGATTGTTTCATTGATTCTTAAGCATAATATTACAAAAGTTTTTATTATGACAAATGACAAGCCTTTTATCTAAAAAAATATTAATCGTTATCATTATATTATTAAAATAATGAATAATTTTTATACTTTAGTTTTATGTAACATCATGTACATACATTAATTGATGTACATACATATGGTGCAAGAAATTTAAAACCTTGATTTTTATGTTGGGATAATGCATAAAAACTCATTGAAATTTTTTTTTTAAATCAACAATCTCAATAGCATAAACTAATAACTTATTAAAAACAAATTTCTTAAATTATTAATTTCAATAGAGTGATGAACATAAAAATAATACTTCAAGAATAATATATATTTAATATAGTAATAGTTTATGCATGCAGCTAAAACTTGAAATAAGTTACTACTGAATTTGGTTTACCTTTAATGTGCTGGTCAGTTTTATTCTATATAAAGTGATTGGGATTTTTGGATTTTCTGCATCATATGTATATACTTATATAATTTTATATGAAAATAATATATGAAAATTATTCCACAATAATAAAATAAACCTTACTAGAAATTAAAGCTATTACCATTTTCATTTTGTTAAACCAACAGGATGAGTAATGCATTTCACACAGCATGCCAATTTAAAAATATTGTATAAATATATGGATCTATAGTAAGGTTAGAAAGTGTATCAGCAGTAACACAAAACCTGGGGTTTTGCTAACCATCAAAAATATGTCACAATGCTTGTATTGTATTGTAATTCTAAGTAAGGTCTAACTCAATAATTTTTGTTTTTATGTTGGACCATTTCTTTGAAAACATGATGCATCATTTCTTTAACTCCTACAGCAGTATTTGCGAGTGTAGCGAAACTTTGTGCATGCTGTAAAAAATGTACATTTACATGAAGGTTTGGCAAATTCATAAAATATTTAGGAAATAAACTATATTTCAAAGAAATAGTTAATATATTAATAAAAATACAGCACTCTTCAAGACTTTAATATAGTCATCATATTACTAATAGGCAGTTTGAAATTAAATTTTGTTTATTTTATTTTTTTCCTTATTTATATTGAAAAAAAATTAATTTTCAAGTCATTTATTGAATTCCCAACAAGCCAATTTTTTGAAAACTTTAAGCAAAAAAAATTCAGTTCTTGACTCAATTAATAAAGCTATTAATAAAGCATACTATACTAGATTAAAATATAAATAATTTATTGCTAACTGTTGTGTAATTAGCAAATTTCATGAAATCAGAAACCTAAAAAAAATGATTAACTAAAAATTATTTGATTTATTTTTTAACTAATCATATATTGGCATTTTTTCTAGATTCCTGTAATGCAGTAATGCATCGATCATAGTAATTTGAAAAGTGCGATAAATCATTTGGCATTGTAGAATTGTTTAAAATATCAAAATATAGATGATTTCTATTTGTATCTGGTGGGTATAATACTTGGTATTATAAATATCTGATATCTTAAGTAAAATTGTTCAACACCTAATATTACATATAGTCTCTAAATATAAACCTAACCTTAATATATAGAGAGCACTATATAAACATTATACTGGGTATTATACTTTATGAGTATAAGTGTTAAAATTTTCAAAATATATATTGCAGTAACTTTGGTATATGTATTATGTTTAGATATTCATTTTGCATAGTATGCTCCATTAACAGCCTTATCAAATGAAGCCTTAAAAATGATTGTTATTAATATTATTTACTAGTATAATATCCAGATTCTATATAAAGATCATAGGATATTATAATTATATGCTTCCAATTTATTTTTAATTTACAAGCTTAAAGTTAAACAAATTAAATCTCAAACCACCTGATAAACAATATATAGTTTTATAAATAAAAAAACTAATCTGAATAAGTAAATCACACTCTTTTCTTAATGATTGTTGTAACTCTTGATAAATATTATTAGTTATTGGAGTCATAAAGGCAGGTTTAAGAGATTTTGCCACTGTGGTCCAAAGAATGCACAATAGTGTAACTTGCATTTTACTAAGAGTTTTTTGCTATTTTTTTAGAATGTCAGCCTTTATATAATTAGGTTTTAGAAAATGCCTAAGTATAAATAGCATTAGCATAGCAAGCCTTAAAACATCAAAAAACATAAAGCTTTGCCGATATCATAATAGGTTAGGCATACAGCACCAGTAAGCTGGCTTTTTAATATTTTTTCAATATTTTATAAAAGATTCTTCACCAGCTACATTAAGTGCATTAAACATTGCATCCAATAAAGTATGGGCCTTAGCAGCCATTGAGTGATAGATATCCTGGAGTGTTTGCACATGTTGATCCTATTTTAATACACCAAGAAATCCAGGAGTCATTATGAGACCATACACAGTAGCCAATTGATTTTTACCAACTTTAGTTGGTTGATTTTTAATCTCTAATAATTAGCTTTTATTTCATGCTGAAAATGTGCATAATTTATATAGTTATAACTTATATCAGTAAGCTGGTTACTCGAAACATTGCATGTTCTACAACCATGGAGCACCCCATGTTGTTTTACACTTGCAAAGCAATTACCTTGTGGTAAATTAGCAGTAATACACCCAATACCACCTATAACCCAAGCATCACTATATAAAGTATGCATTATAAGACTATTTTCTAATTGTTTTATATCTTTAATTACTGGTTCTATAAAATCCTCAAAATTGGCACCAAATGAAACAAAACTAATTAGAAAATGGTTTTTGAGTAATCTTCGTTTGAATTGGGTCATGTTTCCTATCTGCATATATGTACCACCTAAGGAATGATATACATTTTTATAGGTTTCAAAACTGTCATAATACAGATCAAGAAATATCTTTAACACTGGCATTGAACATGAAGGTGGCCTGATATTAAGGGTATTAAAAAAACCAGTTTTGGATTTTTTTCATCTATTTTAAAACAGGTAATTATTAAAGTCTGAATAATTAAATCTATATTTAAATATGTTTAGGATTATAACATCTTAGTGTTGCAGGAAAATTGTTTATTAAAAATTTTATTATTTCATAATTACATAAGTGTGGAATTATTGAATTGATAATTCTACAATTTCACATTGTGTAGAATTATAGAATTTTCAAATTTATAATTTATGCAGAAGTTTTATTTTTGATCTTATAAAATCCTCACTTATACAGAATTATTTATAATTCAAAAAATATATAATAAGTAAATCATATTATGGTAGTTTGTTATAAAATTTGTTAAGAATCCAATAATTTTTTCTTAATATTATTATTATATATAATAGTAAAATTGAAGCAAGAATTTATAAAATATCAGAAATGTAACATGCATAAATTATATAACTGGAATCATTAATTCTATAACTTCATACTTATGTAATTGTAAAATTACTAAAATTGGGGGATGGCTAAAGCCATGTCTGGTTAGAGTTACTTTTTTGATGCATTTAAGGTTAGTGATTTATAAAAATATTAATAATATGATTTATGCAATATGTAGGTCAATATGTAATTGAGCATGACTTTAGACAATCCTTAAAATTAGTAATGATCAATTTCACAACATTATGAAATCATTTTCAAATTGTGAAAATAATTACACATTTTTAATTATGTTAATAAAAAATAATTGCAATACTTACCTGATATTGATGTATTCACAAGGCAACTGGTGCTTTTGGAAATATCTCTATATTTCTAATGATTGTTAAACTGGTATAAATTTTTTTTAATATAATAATTGTATTCTTTAGGTTTTGGTGAATTACAAAACTATACAATTATTCAATAACTAATGCTTTTAGGATCAGCATATGTAAAATCTCTCTTAACGAGCCAGAGTTCTCTACCATCTTCATGAATATGTTGATCACTATCAGATCAACAGTTGGGAAGATCTTGAATAGGCAAAAGCATATCAATTTTTAATTTAGAATTATTATCTAATTCATTAATTACTATGCCACATATATGGCATATAATTTTGTAAGGTGATTTGTTACATATAACAAATCACCAGCATTATAAATTTCTAATTAAATATATACAATAATTATTATTCATATCTCAATTTTTTAATGTGTCTTTTAAAACTTAAACATATCTCAACAGTTTAAATTATTATAGATGACACCCTCGGCAAAGTTTCTGAACACATTTTGGAGGTATACTAGCCATGTGTTTATATAATTTTGACTCAAATTATATTCTAAAAACTTTGCCAAAGATGTTACCTAAAATAGATCCAAACTCATTTTTGTTTGAAGTTTTTAAATTTTTAATTTTTTAAAAATTTTATAGTGATATGAATAACAAAATTGGGTATGAATAGCTGCACTTTAAAATTCAAAAGCCTTTCAGATAATATCTCATACTAACCTTTATTATTGCAGCTTATTGTATGTTCTCCAAAAAGAGAGAAATCTTGTCAAAGATTCTCATGCCAGAGTTCATTCTTCTTCTCTCTGACCACATCAGGCCCAAAATATAAATCAGGCATGATTGTTAGATTATTCAATACATATTCCAAATGTGCCAGAGGAGAAATTGTAAAAGATTTCTTAGTAGATGCAAGGCTTGAAGAAGCCTTTTGCTTGTAAATAGGTACATCATTCTGATGTACTTTAAGAAGATGCAATCTATATCTTCATTTATAAATATATTGAATATTTGTAACAACATCTTTCTTGAGAAATTTGAGATGTTTAATAATTTTAGTAAGGTCTTCATATGCACTGGTTGTTAAACATAAATAATAATTATATATGTTAATTTCAATAGTTTTAAAGTTTGGAATTTGATTGGCTGGATAATTTCATGATATACCATTCCATATTAGCAAATTAGGAGATATAAAAGTTTGGAACCAATTCCAAATTTTATTTCAAAAAGGAAATTTGAATAATTAAAATAAAATAAAGTTTGAATTCCAATTTAAAAAAGGAAAGTTGAATAATTAATATATGCAGTATATGTAACTTTTTAAGATCAAATTCCTTTTTTGAATTTAGAAATATATTTGTGAAATTTATGCAACATTACTTACTTATCATGTGCTTAATAATCTATGAATAAATCACTATAGATGTAAAATTTGGAAAGTACAGTCTGTATTCTTCATTAAACCCTTCAAATTCTGCAGATTCTTCTTTAAAAATTTCATAATTTATTAAAACTTCTTCTACATCATCAATCAATGGTCTTTCATTAGAATTAATGAATATATTTGACTGGTAATCATATATAATGTTCATAAAATATGCATTTAAATCATCAGCTTGTTCCAATTTCTTTGAAAAAAAAATAAAATAAAAAATAAAACATATTTGAATATTTAAAGCATATTTAACAAGTATATTATTAATGGACCTCATTTGTTAATGCTTCTGTTTCATCATCCAATTCTTCATCTGATTTTTTATTTGATTCTTCACCAAACTTTTCAGTTTCATCATCAGTTTTATTACAAGTTTTATCATTATCAGCTTCATTATCAGTTAAAATTAAATTGCATTCTCCAAAAGAAAAAGTATTCTCTAAACCATCTGTACATCAGAATTTATTACATTCACTTTTCATATAGATTCTTGAAAGACTTCAAATGATTCCTCTTTATATCACTTCCTGGTTCATAACTTCAGTATGTCTGTATAAAGATTTTTGGTTCTTTTTGATCGCTTTATAGTATAAATTTTGATATTTTGCTAAAATAATTTAATTAATAATTAAAAACAAGTTATATGGTTACTAATGCATATTCAAAATGTAGATGATGTAACTAATGTTAATGACATAATAAAAGTAAATATAATTGCATAATATGTATAGTTAAATTGAGTTAAAATATAAAATAAAGTAAGTGTAGTTAATGATTATATAAATTCAAAGAACTAAGACAATAAAAATTTTTTGTTCACTTATTAATTATAGCACCTACAAAAATATGTAAATAGGTAAAATATGATTTAAAATTTTCTTTATTTTTTTTATTAAATGAGAAACTTATAGATAATACTAGAAATAAAGCTTGTAATACATTAGTAGATTTTACCAGAAATAAAGCTCATGCTACATTAGTATCATCCAAAAAACCAACTCCTGTTAAACCTTGGCAACATAATGCTTCTGTCAAAACCTGTATACACAATGCTTATAGTATGTTATTTATTCATTCATTTTTACAGATAAAAAGACATTGCATCTATGCATTGATACTAAATAATTTGCTATTAAAATAATACAAAGGTTCAGTTTCTAGTGTATCAGTTTTGTCTTCGAAAAACACACAAAGTATTCAAAAATTGATGAATGACCAAGATCAATCAATTGGTGAAATTGAAGTCAATGAACATTTATTTGATGAAGAAAATGAACACTATTCATGAAAAATAATTATTATAAAGAGACATTAGGTATTTATAATATATGAGGTTTAAATAATTACTTAAACAAAGTTAAATGTTTTATTTGTACTTAATTTATTAATATTTAGATTATCATATAGATTCTATTAATAATGATATGTACAAATTATTTTTACTTTTATTATATATCATATTAAAAAAAAAAAACTGTATACTGATCTTGTTATATTAATATCAAATTAATTATAATCATTATTTATTTAGTTAATGATTCTAATATGTTTGAGAAGTCAATGCTCAGAAGAGCTTTACATAATACAATGACTATAGCCGATAATTTGGCAAGCAAGACTTTACATACAGTGGTAGTAACTTCAAAAACTATACTAAGATCTACAAATAATTTTACAAATAAGAGTAAGTTTATATTGCAAGATAACTTTATATATTAATGTTTTTAATTATAGTAATTGCTAATTTTTCTTTTTACTGATATTATTCTATTGTTTAATCTAAACAAATATAAAACTATATAATATAAATTTACATATTAATAAATAATAAAAGTAAATTTAACTGAAAACTCTTTCTGCAAATCTATTGCACAAAAATCAACTAAAAAATTCATTCGTCAAAAAACGCTTATAACTATTTATTTTACTAAGACAACCTGTCCTAGTGTCTTAAGTAAACTTGTTCAGCTCAGTGATTTATATATACTATGAAAATTTCATAGATCTAGCTCTTAAACTCACAGAGAAAACTGTACTGACGGCCTTTGGCCCTCAATTTTAGAAAA